GCAGGACCCCAGGGCTATGCTGATGCTGTCTGCTCCTTGCAGGAGAAGAGGCGTGTGGTGGTGGCAGACCAGTACCGGAGACCCAGAACGAATGCAGAGGCATTGGTGTCCGCATCTGCCTCAGGGCAGCAGCCCAGCTCCGGTCCGCAAGTGCCCCAGAGCCGTGCCAAGAAGTGGTACGACTGGCAGCACCCTGCCCATGCCTGCCCCAGCACAGCCTGGGCATCCCAGCCCTGGCTGGGAAAGCCTGACTCTCCCTTCCCACAGGGCTGAGTTCATCCGTGGGAAGCACGGGGTGGAGATTGTCTCTGAGCACGACCAGGACAACGGGCACATTCGCTTCCCGGTGGTGCCCGGCGAGACCCGGACGGTCGTCATCCTGGTGCAGAACCACGGGGCAGAGGCCGTGACGCTGCGCCGGTGCCAGCCACACCAGCAGTCACGGGAGCTCTCCTTCACGGACGAGCAAGGGGCGACGCAGGGCCAGTCCCTGCTGCTGCACCCAGGTAGGACCCTGTCCCCTGCCCTGCGCCCTGCCCTGCCAGAGGAGATGCAGGACCCAGCTCTCGCCTCTTTGCCTCGCAGGCGACACGTACCCCATCCACGTGCGGTGCCTGGCCACCTGCAATGGGTACTTCCATGCCATGGTGGTCTTCGAGTTCACCAAGGAGCCGGCCGAGCCCTTCAGCATCAGGCGCTACGTCGCTGCCGTGGCCGAGAGCCAGCTGGCCAAGGACCTGGGGCCCTCAGCACCTTTCCAGCCTTCCCAGGCCAGCCTCCAGCACCCTGTCACCGTCATCACTGAGGACGGCATCCCCCCCAACAGGTAGGTGGTGGGGTCACCTGCTGCCATCCTGCGCGGAGGGCCCTGGTCTCTTCTCTGGCTGGGACAAGGCTCAGCTCCATGGGACCTGTCTGTCTGGCACCCCGGCACAGTGCTCCATCCCCGTGCCATGGCTGGTGACAGTGGGGTTGGGGACACTCTGCTTGCCGGGGCCACGCGTGGTTGCAGCCCAGGGCAGTCCCTGTGGCACTGCTGTCCCCTCCGCCCAGCTCCCTGAAAAATGAACTGGAGAGGGAAATCCCCCTGGGCACTTACCACTACCAGAAGAGCCTCAAGGACACGATCCTGCTCGGACCCAATGCCAGTGCCAGCTCCAGCTGGGCTGCCATGCGGTGAGTGCCAAGAGGTGGGGGCCACGCTGCCCAGCCCTGCGCCTCCCACCCGCTGCCCCTTGGCGGAGGCGTTCCCAGGGCACAGTGACATCCCTGCTGCCCGCAGGTCGCTGCTGGAGGCTCCCCTGCAGGCTGGGAACTACCAGCAGAAGTTCCAGCTGCTGCTGCACCTGGAGGAGATCCAGATGGAGGTGGACATCCGGCGCTATGACATGCAGGACGTGCCCATGGTGCAGGAACGGGCACTGCTGGTCCTCGACGTGCGTAGGGGGAGCCGGGGGGCGGGAGGGGTGCCTGGCTCCTGGGTGCCCGGCATCACACCGGCCGTTTGGCACAGGTGCCTGGCGTGGCTGAGAACCGCCCATCCGTGCTGAAGGGGGACCACCTCTTCGCCCACCTGAGCAGCGAGCGGGACCACTCCCCGCTCGTCCAGTACAAGGGCTACGTACACGGCGTGGAGCTGGAGAAGGTCAGGCTGGGCTTCTCCTCCAAGTGAGTGGTGTCCGGCCCCGGCCGGGCTGGCAGGGCCCTGGCAGCCCCTCTGGGATGTGCCAAAGGCTGGGTGCAGGCTGGGGAGGGCGTGGGGGAGCGTCCCCATGCCCTGCTCACACTGCTCCTTCCCAGGCTGCTGAAGAAGTTTGTGAACAACCTGAGGTTCGACGTGACCTTCACCTTCAGCCGGCTGCCCCT